GTATGGATGTAGTTGGGTCGTATCTGATTAAAGGGCGAGATGGGTGTATGGATGTAGTTGGGTCGTATCTGATTAAGGGGAGAGATGGGTGTATGAATGTAGTTTGGTTGTATCTGATTAAAGGGAGAGATTGGTGTATGAATGTAGTTGGGTCGTATTTGATTCGCAGTTGGTTGAGCCATGCTAGTATGTGATCGGGTATGGGCTAGATGTGAACAGGTATGGGCTAGGTAGAGAGTTGTCTGTGGGGTATAGTCGGGGCAAAGATATATCCGCTGTCAGGGTGTTTGTATGTAAATCTCATGTTTGTATGTAAATCTCACGTGTTTTGTATCATTGTAGTGTGTGTTTGGCTTCATTTACTTCTACATACGGTGAGCTTTTCTGTGTTCCTACTTATTTGCCTACTGTTCGCCGCCACGAGTGTCGCTCACCAGTTCTCTGGAAAATCTCGATACTTTTGCTATTTTGTACCAAACTCCTGCTTATTTGTTCACTAGTGTCCACCCTAACCTTCCTATCTGTGACATCCTGACCAATCTTCTGCTCATGGCTTCTGTGTTCATAAGCCAGTGTCCTCTATATCTCCTGCTTATTTGTTCTCTACTATTACCCTCAGCTATCGCTCTCATACACATCTGCGATACCCAACCAACCGATTTGTACCCGGGTTTGTACCTACACCCATCCCGTCCCAATTCCTGCTTATCCTGTTCACCTCCTCTATCCCCCCCCCCCCCCCCCCCCCTACCACACACAGGTGTGCGACATTCTTATGAATGTAGGGCCCATCACCGACTTCTGCTTTGGTGAACCGGCGTATGTCTCTGACGAGTATGTGCGCGAAGACCGCTACGATCTCGAGTTGGTCACATGCAGCGGACACGGCAAAAACGGCGCACTATGTCTTATGCAGAGGGGTGTGCGGCCTCAGGTAAGACAGTGCTGTCCAGCCAGATATTGTCGATGGGCAGATATGGATAATAATGTATATATGTATAGTAATGGACATATATAATAATGTATATATATAATGATGGATATATATAATGATGGATATATATAATGATGAATATATATAATGATGGATATATATAATAATGGATATATGGATAATAATGGGTAAGTGGATAATAATGGATATATGGTTAACAATGGATATATTTGCGTGTGCTCGTATACATGCATGTGTTAGTGCTTCCACAGGCTAATGGGTGCAAATACTGATGTGGCTGTCGCCTCCAAAGTGTGTATGTGTTATGACTGGTTGTGTGTCTGGAAGTTGTCGAATGTACCGAACATTCTAAGTACATTGCTCCATGCCCGATTTTCAGTAGTATGCATTTCCAGGTATTGTGATGCACTAGATAATAAGTCGATAACACTCATTTATATATCGGTATTGCTACCTATATATATATATATATATATGTGCGTGTGTGTGTTTGTGAGTGTGTGTGTGTGTGTGTT